ATTCAGGCTATTCGCGAGTTTCCAAGGCCTAACACTATAGTCGTTTTCTTGAGCTTGTCAACTTTTATCGTAAACTACTGCATAATGCAGCTACCATCGTTCAGGCACCATTAAATGAGTACCTTCGCGATTCACGCAGAAACGACAAACTGCCAATCATATGGACGCCGGTGGCTGAGAAGCGTTTAATAAGTGCAAGGAGAATCTGGCCAACGCGACTATACTTTCTTACCCCTCCCGCAGCCGAGACGCGCCTCGTTTGTGACGCGTCAAATTTCGCCATCGGGGCCGCCCTCGAACAACGTTTAGACGACTCGTGGAAACCGCTCGCATTCTTTTCGCTCAAATTAAATTCGGCGCAACAGAACTACAGCGCGTACGATCGGGAGCTTACGGCGATCGCCGAGGCAATAAAATATTTTCGTTATTTCTTCGAAGGGCGAAATTTCAAGATTGTAACCGATCACAAGCCTCTCATCTACGCGTTCATGCAACGTTCCGAAAAGGCATCACCTCGGCAACAGAAACAACTTTCGTTCATCTCGCAGTTCACTACGCATATCGAATACCTATCGAGCAAAGATAATATTGTGGCGGATTCCCTTTCCCGCATCGAAGCCATTCATTTACCTGCCGAGATCGAACTTAATGAGCTTGCACAGCAACAAGAACAAGACGAGGAGCTACGCGTCCATTCGCGAATCTCCTGAATTTCCGCTGTCTATGAAGCGAATTCAATGGGAGTCGACGCATATTACACTTTACTGTGAAATGACCGGCGAAGCAATCCGTCCCTATATATCGGCATCTTACGAGATCGCGTTTTTCACTTGTTCCATGACGCGACTCATCCGGGCCCTAAAGTCACGGATCGGGTAATCCGTCAACGGTATGTGTGGCCTAACATGCATCGTGATATTGCAAAGTGGTGTAAGAATTATCTTAACTGTCAGCAGTCAAAAATAACCCGACACGTTCAATTACATCCTGACAAATTTGTCGCATCGGGCGTTTCGAGCATGTTCACATGGATCTAATAGGTCCCTTGCCTGAGTCGGACGGGTACAGATATTGTGCGACGATGATTGATAGATTTTCGCGTTGGCCAGTAGCAATACCTGTGATAGACATTGAAGCTATTAGAGTGGCACGCGCGTTTTACGACAACTGGGTAGCAAATTTTGGAGCATCCAAAACGATAACTACTGATCAAGGTAGCCAGTTCGAAGCGCAACTTTTTACTGCACTTCTTCAGCTGAGCGGCTGTCAACGAATTCGTACCACGGCGTATCATCCCGCCTCGAACGGTATGATCGAGCGGTGGCATAGAAGCTTAAAAGCTGCGATTATGTGTCATGCTAATGAAGGCTGGTCACGAGTACTTTCGACCGTATTATTAGGTCTGTGTGCTCATGTCCGCCTTGATACCGGCGCATCGCCTTCGGAATTTGTTTATGGAACGACGCTGCGCGTCCCCGGAGAATTTGTACTGCCGGACGACTTTACTCCTAATCCTCAAATGTTCATCGAGGAATTCCGCGAGCATATGCGCAAAGTTAAGTCAATCTCGATAGAGCATAAGCACAAGAAACGCGCATTCGTATTTAAAGATTTATATTCATGTTCCTATGTTTTTCTACGGGTGGGCGGTACCAAGAGAGCGTTAGAGCGTTCCTACACCGGCCCTCACAAGGTTATAAATCGTGTTTCGGATCGAGTATTCGACATTGATGTTAACAGCACAGTGTATCGGTCGAAAATTTAAAACCTGCGTGGCATACGCGATGACTTATGTAGTGCAACCCCAGAAGCAGGGCAATCAACCAATTCGTTCAGCAACGAGCAACCAGTTTTGAAAACGTATGCGCGTCCGAAGAAAAAAGTCACCTTCGCCATATAATTACAATAAATCCTCCCAACGACAAAATGTAATTAGTTTAAGACAGACACCAAAGACACGCAATGATATGTTTTATATAATATGTTTTATATGATACATTTTATATGTTTTATATGGTAGACCTAAGTGTCGGCATCATAAATGTACCTGTCACTACAGCAATATTTTGTTAATTTAATAATAAGCATAGGGTTTAGATTCGTTGTCACTCAGGGGGGAGTATGTAGGGAACTACGTTATCAATATCTCACTAGCGCAGCGAGTGTAGAAAGCCTAGGGATTTTGTAGGTTGCGAGTTGCCTACAAGCAGCGTCAGAGAAAAAAATAAGACGTTAGATAGATTATGGCGCTCATCCTGTACGGTCATATTCATTTGAGCTCGAGTAATAAAGATTTATAGTTACCAGTTACAAGAAAGTGTCG